GGATCGTGGCTTCGGGGACGCGGGCGTGGCGCGCGAACGTGGCGTAATTTCAACAGGATCGTGGCCCCAGAGGCGCGAATGTAGAGTCATTTGCGGGAGATCGTGGCCTCGGGGGCGCGAACATGGTGTATTTCACGGGGGATCGTGGTTTCGGGGACGCGAATGTGGCGCAATGTATTTGGCATCGTGGCCTCGGGGGCGCGAAGGGATCGTGGCGTCGGGAGCGCAAATATCATGTATTTTGACGTGTCTCACGGCACCGCAGGAATTCAATGGAATTCAGACGACGCGATTCGGGGGTGGTACCCGGACGCTTCTCAACTCCCCCCCCTCGCGCGGGCTTCAACAGTTTACAGCAGGAAGCAGAAAGCAGGACTGCAATCATTGGAAACTGGAAACTGGAACTGGCGCAGGGTACCGAAACCCGAGCCTCGCAACCCCTAGGCCCCTCGAGGGAGCCAGCGGAGGAGGAAAAGGAATTGAGGTGGACGACAGGGAACGAAGGGGGAAGGGTGGGGGGTTTCTCCGAAGGGCTTGGGCGACCCGTCCTCCTCCTCTTCCTCTTCCTCCTCCTCCTCCTCCTCCTCCTCCTCCTCCCTCCTCCTCCCTCCACCTCCTCCTCCTCCTCCTCCTCCTCCCCTCCTCCTCCTCCTCCTCCCCCTCCTCCTCCCTCCTCCTCCTCCTCCTCCTCCTCCTCCTCCTCCTCCTCCTCCTCAACTTAGCACAACCGAGGAAAGCAAAAGGAGCAGCATGGGCAGCACAATCCCTGGGGCAGATCTAGGCGGCGAAAGCGCTCCTTGAGACAGAGGAAGGACCGAAGAAACAGTCTCGCAATCAGAGGAACAAGATGGTCATAGAGAGGTCCAAGGAGATGTCAAAAACACTGCTGGAGGGCATCACAATGAATGGGGGGCATCTTCGCAGCCTTCAGCGAAGCAGAAAAAATACGACGCACTGCTGAACAAGTACATGGCCATGGACGTTAACGACGACAAAGCGTTGAACGCCGCCAAGAAGGAGTTGGAGGAGAAAGAGAAGGAGATGCACGAGATGGGCGACTACAAGACGGCGAAGAACATGGGGGAGAAACAGACAACGTACCTCAAGGCGCTGGGCTTCGTGGACAAGTGGGGCGACAATATGCAGCCGTTCAACGTATGCAGGAGGAGCACAGGATGGGACAGAAAGAAGGACGTCGCCTGCTCGTGCGGACGGGAATTTCCGGACAAGTTGTGGTGGCGAGGCCCCAGCCCCAACTCAAGGGGGCCTCAAGGGACGTTTTGGTGCAAAGTGGACTGAACACAGCTCGTGAAGGCGCAGGAGAAACATCCAGACGACAAGCCCATGAAAGAGTGGGTGGACAAAATGAAGAACGACTTCGGCGAGGACAGCGATAAGTGGCCAGACATCGGGTGCACGTCCTGCTCCAGTCTTTCAGGAAGGGGCCTTGAATGGTGGTGGAGCTCAAGGTGGGGGAAAAGTTGGAAGCGCTCGTAGCGGAAAGACTGCCGCAGGCGCTGGACGACGCCATCAAGGATAACCATTACACATTCTACGACGCCGCCCAGAAGATGAGCCCAGAGGGGCTCTTCGAGCTGATCCCAATAGCTTTCCCGATGACGCACGAGGTCGACGGATGCGATCTGATCGCAAGGTGCCCAGTGGATGTGTGGGAAAGAGCTGAGAAGAAGGCCGTCAGTGTGCAGAGCTGGTGTGAGTTGGCGCTACAGATAGCGAAGAATGACGAGGAACCTCTACGACGTCACGAAGGTGGCCTTGAAGGACCTCAACCCAGAGGAGGTGAACAAACAGGCTCAGAGAGCGCCAGGAGCTAAGGGGCAGCGCGAAGACCTTGGTGGACGGTACCAAGATCTTCAAGAAATACGCCAAGTCAGAGAAGGCGGCCAACTCCAGCGGCCACAAGTGAGATTGCCCACTGGGGCCCACTGACTTCGTCAGGAGGTGCGTTGGCGAGGTTATCTCGGGGTGCGACTCCAGGCGGGCGGGCGGGCTCAGCGGGGCCTCATTAGCGGGGCAATCTCAGCGTGAGGGTCTTCAAGAGAGAGCTCGCGCAGACGACGTATTGGGGAGTGACTTACTGGAGCGCCGACAGGTGCATTACTGCGGGGGGAACTCGGGAACAAGGTGGTAAACGCGAAGGCGAGCGCATCCACGAGGCCACCAACTCCAACATACCGTGACTACCAGAATGCTCTTCCCTACTTACACATCGAGGGGGAACAGTAGAATACTCCAAAAGGGTATCAGGGTATAGTGGCGACAACGAATGGGACAATCACCAACCAGTTCGGCAGAGAAGTGAGCCGATAGAGAGAGAGAGAGAGAGAGAGAGAGAGAGATAGGAGAGAGGACAGCGTAGAGTAGGAGGATTTGTCCCCCCCAGCAACAGTTTGAAACGCAGGGGCCTCCAGTTGCTCCTCCTCTTTTCCTTTTGAGTGGTCGCGTCGCCGCCTCTTCCCCCCTAGCTTGGGGGGCCTGCTCACCCAGCGCGTCCCCTTTCCCATGGCGCGTGGAAGGGCCCCAGCAGCTGCTCCCCCCGCGCTGACCCGCAGGGACTCGTTCTCACAAGGTAGCGAGCCTCTCTCATGGGGCCACCTCGGACCTCACCCCTTGAAACTTCGAGGTCTGCCCCCTTGCCAGCCCTAGTGAGACGTCAGGCCTGTTGCACAACCAAATCGCCAGAGATTTTGCACACGCGCGCAAGGCACCAATCTGGGTGTGTTGATGTTGGACCCGTTATGCGGATGTCAAGCGTCCTGTCTTCTTCCTCCTCCATATCCTCCTCCCTCTCCCTCTTCCACCACCTCCTCCTCCTCCTCCTCCTCTTCCTTCTTCTCGGGTGGCCTACGACCCCGGGGGGAACGTTGCAGGGACGAGTGAAGGAAAGAATATGTATCCGCGTCATCTTGGACGCGTTTCGTGGGTTTTTTTCGGGGCGTCTCGGGTTTTCCTGTGTCCCTTGGCTGGCATGCCGAGGTTTCGCTACGCTGCCGCCCGTGCCGCCTCGTGGGCGTTTCGTGCAATAAACTCGCACGACATGGTTTTAACTACATAGTCTACATCACATAGCTTACATCCCATAGTTCCCACTTCCAGTTCACACCACTTAACTTACACGGCACAGCTTGCACCGCATAGTCGTCATTTCCTTAGTTCACACATCCTAACGTACACGACATAGTTTTGATCACATAGCTTACACCGCGTAGCTGCCACCTCCACAGTGCAATCACGCAGTGTTTGGTGTCTACGCTGGTTAACAGTCCTTTTTTTCACTTCATAGTATAAGGGGCCCCCATTGATGGGCGTCACAATGGCCACAACGATCCAAGGGCGTCTGGAGCGGCCCCAAGACAGTCCAGGAGATGTGCAAAACGGTTCCAAGCCGGCTCAGGAGCGCTCCAAATGAGCCCGATCAGCCAAAGAGCGTTCGCAAATGGTTCCCGATCAAGACCGCCCACGACTGCCCCAAGAGGCACCCAATAAGGCCCTCGAAAGGCTATGCTGGAGGCCGCCGACAAGCCAACATTTCAATTATACGATAAGATCATGACAGATTTTCGCCTTCTCGCCTTTTCGCTCCGATGGGCTGCTGAGGTTCAAGGTGGGCCCCAGGAGGCACTCAAGAGGCTCCCACAAGCCCCAGAGGCCTCCAAGATACCCCAACAGACTTCAAACGGCTCCCAGGAAGTCCGCCCGAGGCCCCAAGACGCTCCCAAGACGACTCGAAACGCATGAGGCCCCGAAGAGGCTCTCACGATGCCTCCAAGAGGCCCCCAGAAGCCCCCCAACGGCTCCAAGAGGCCCCTAGATGCTTCCAGAGTCCCCGAAAAGCCTGCCTGACGCGCCGGGACGCCCCCCGAGAAGTCCCTGCGAGTACACGTTTGTTTTATGTTTGTTACGTTGTCGAAGATTTCACCGTTCTGCCCTTACCGAGCCTGCTGCGCTCCCAGACGGCCCAAAAGTATTCCGAACTGGCCCAAGAGCGCCCCCGCGCAGACCCCACTTAACCGACCCGCGCTCAGACACCAATGCGTCAAACACAACCTCCTCTGCTCACGCATACCAGTAGGACCTCGGTCCCAAGCTCACCCCAAAAGAGCCCCCCAGCCACTTCACATCCCTCCGACCCTATCCAGCTTCGCCTGTGCACGTAGTCTGGCCCACCTGCAGTTTGAGACACTGCCCGTGAACTTCCCGACCTTACTTCCCCAGCCACTCCTCCAACTCTACCCCAGACACCTCCCACGACCTCTGCACTTCGAAGCTGCCCGTGGCCTTCGCGGCCCTGCCTCCACAACCCCACTCCCAGTTCTACCCCAAATATTTCGACTTCTCCAACCCTTGCCCCCAGTCTACCCTAGAGACCGTCCAGGGCTTCTGCAGTTCGAGTTTGGCCGTGACCTGCTTAACCTTGCCTTCCCAACCATTGCCCCCCCGCCCTACCCCGCATACCGCACCTTCCATACCCTCTGCAGTGTAAGCTGCCCGTGACCGTCCCGACCCCGCCTCTCCAACCTTTGCCCCGCTCTCCGACCAGCAACCTCCAGGGCCAACCCATCATCACCACCAGCCCCCCCTTCTGATCGGCCATCACCGTCGCATACTCCACTCTTTCCTGGGCCCCTGGCGTGCGCACCCCCTGGCGCGCGCGCGCACTTCGAGGTGTCCCACGTGCATTCGCCTGCGACCTTCCCGACCCCGGGCCTGCGCAGCGCCGACCCCCAGGGGTCCGCAGTCTCGGGAGTCACTCCCGCATGCCGCGCACTGGTGCACCATGCCAGGACTCTGAAAGCGAAGCGCGTCGGGCTTCAATTCTTGTTGTGCCGATGCTATTTCCGCATCATGTTTCTTCCTTGCTGCTATTCGTCTTAGCTTTCCTCTTGTTTTCGTTACTGCTGCTTCTTCTTATGTTTCGCATCTTTCTCCATCTCCTGTGGCTGTCTCGCGCCATTGGGGCTGTGAGCAATGCTCGCGGTAGCTGCCTTGGGACCAAGCTCCTGCTGTCCCTTGCAGCGGCCGATGGATCAGGATCCTCACGTCGGACGTGGCACCAACGCTGGCGAAGACAGATCGCCCAGTGGATGCGCCTGCAGGAGGCGCCTGTGCTTTCATATTGGGGAGGAGCAGGTGATGGTGATGTTGTTGCTGTTGTCGGTGGTGAGAATGATGATGATGATGATGATGATGATGATGATGATGATGATGATGATGATGCTGATGCTGATGCTGATGATGATGATGATGATGCTGATGATGATGATGATGATGATGATGATGATCATGATGATAATGATGATGGTGCTGGTGCTGGTGATGATGGAGATGTTGATGCTGATGCTGATGCTGCTACTGAATGTGCTGTTGTTGTTGTAATTGGTGTTGTTGTTGTTGTTGTTGTTGTTGTTGTTGTTGTTGTTGTAATCGTTGGTGTTGGTGTTATTGTTGTTTTTGTTTTTGTTGTTGTTGCTGTTGCTGTTGCTGCTGCTCTTGTTGTTGTTGTTGTTGATGTTGTTGTTGCTGCTGCTGCTGGTGTTGTCGATGTTGTTGTTGTTGTTGTTGTTGTTGTTGTTGTTGTTGTTGTTGTTGTTGTTGTTGTTGTTGTTTGTTGTTGTTTGTTGTTGTTTGTTGTTGTCGTTTTCGTCGTCGTCGCCGAGAGCTCCTGGCCAGAGATGTCCCCGAACTCAGGAACGGCGCTCTCGCTCGAGAATTCCTCGCACTTCAGTCAGTTGCCGACAGCGAAGATATTCCCCCCGCAAGGGGGTGCAATCGAAGACGAAGGGGGCGGGTATGGAGGGTTGGAGTGTACAGGATGTAAGATACGCGTGACAGCAAGAGCGAACAGTCTTAAAATGATCGTTGTCGTTGTCGTTGTCGTTGTCGTCGTTGGACTCTCACTATTGAAAAATAATTGATGTTGATCCCCCCCTTCCAGTAAAGTGACCATTGTGTTTTTCAATTGAAGTGCTTCCCCTGGGGCTCGCGCTCGCATCCTGTTTTTTATCAGGGAAAGTCACGGGGCTCAAACTAGGGCCTCGGCCCCCAGTTTACAACAACAAGAATAATTTTAAGACTGTTCGCCCTTATCTGCTCGACTGTCCTATAACGCGTATTTCCCAAACCCTCGATACCCGCCCTCTTCGTCTTCGATCGAGCTCCTTTTGGGGGTATACCTTTCTTCCCTGCAGGCCGGGCCCAGGCAAGCGGCGGGGCGGCCTCGGACCGTCGGCCTGGCCAGCGGCAGCGCTGATCGGCGGGGCGGCCGCGGACCGTCGACCCGACCCCAAGGGGGACGGACAGGGGACCGACGACGACGACGACGACGACGACGACGACGACGACGACGACGACGACGACGACGACGACGACGACGACGACGACGACGACGACGACGACGACGACGACGACGACGACGACGACGACGACGACGACGACGACGACGACGACGACGACGACGACGACGACGACGACGACGACGACGACGACGACGACGACGACGACGACGACGACGACGACGACGACGACGACGACGACGACGACGACGACGACGACGACGACGACGACGACGACGACGACGACGACGACGACGACGACGACGACGACGACGACGACGACGACGACGACGACGACGACGACGACGACGACGACGACGACGACGACGACGACGACGACGACGACGACGACGACGACGACGACGACGACGACGACGACGACGACGACGACGACGACGACGACGACGACGACGACGACGACGACGACGACGACGACGACGACGACGACGACGACGACGACGACGACGACGACGACGACGACGACGACGACGACGACGACGTCGACGACGACGACGACGACGACGGCGACGACGACGACGACGACGGCGATGACGAGCGAAAGCGAAAGCGAGAGAGAACGACAGCAGGGCCACGAAGGACACGAAGTAGGCCACGAAGGGCGACAGCGGGGACACGAAGGGAATGCGTCTGGGGCCACGAAGAGCGCGAACGAGCGGGGGCCACGAAGGGCAGATAATGCGGGGCCACAGAAGGCAACGATGGGGCCATTGTGGGTAACAACGGGGCCACGTAGGGCTGAGGGGGCCACAAACGGCGACAGCGGGGCCACGAAGGGCACGCACATGGGGCCACAACGGGTTCGACTCCTGGGTGCCTGGGTGTCGGGAACGCGGCGCTTGAGCAAATTGCAGGAACTTCCAACGCAAAGGTCTCCAGCGAGAGCGCGACTCCAGAGCGCCGGGAGAGCGATTCTTGAATAAATTGTGAGGAGGTCCGAAGCGAGAGCGCGATTCCGGAATAAAATGCGAGGAATTCTCGGGCAAGAGCGGAGGTCCTGGCTAAATTGTGAGGAAGTCTCAAGCGGGAGCCGCTGTTGTTGTACCCCAGGGGCCAGGGGCGCAGTTTGAGCATCAAGGTTTTCCTTGTCGAAAACAGGGTGCGAGCGTCGAGTGGCACACTTTGATTGAGAAAAATCAGCATGCACTGGTGAGGGGGATCAACAATAGTTATTTTTCAGAAGTGAGAGTTCAACAACAACGGCTCTCGATCGACACTTCCTCGCAATGTATTCCCAAATCGCGCTCCCGCGCGGGACGTCCTCACAATTTATGTACGCATCGCGCTCTCGCGTGGGACGCCCTCGCAATTTATTCATACGATGCACCTTCGGCGCTCGGGAATGGCGCTCTCGTTTTGGCTTTTCTCACGGCTTACTTGGGAATCGCGCTATCGCTCGAGCCTTCCTCGCGATTCATGCAGGATTCACGCTTCAGCAACCCGCTTGCTCGACCTCGTCGCCTGGGCCCGCCTTCCCGACCTGCCCGCTATGGGTGGGTCTGCCCACTCCAGCTGCCCGTCTGGTTCTACCACTTGTTTTCTGCTCTTTGCCCCCCTCCTGCTAATTTGTCTCGTGCTCCATTATTATCCCTCCCTCTTCCGCTCGTCCTTTGCTTCAGGGGTTGCATTAAATGCACGTGGCAGGTAAGGAAGATGTACCCCTAAGGGGGTACGATCGAAGACGATGAGAGCGGGTACCAAGGGTTTGAGATATATGTGTTCGTTGGCACGTGAGCAGATAGGAGCGAACAGTCTTGCAATTATGATTATTGTTGTTATTGTTGCTATTATTGTTGTTGAATCTTCATCTCCAAATGATAATTACTGTTTATTTCCCCCTGCCCGGTAACCATTTGTATTTCTCATTTGAAGTGCGTATCCCGGTGCTCGCACTTTTGATTTTATTAGGGAAAGTGAGGTACCACCAAATTGTGTTGTTGCCACCCTGTTTACAACAAGAGCGGCTCCCGCCTGATATTTCCTTGCAATTTATTCAAATCGCACTCTTGCGCGGGACGTCCTCGCAATTTATACAGGAATCGCGCTGTCGTGTGGGACTCTCGACATTCAGGAATCACGCTATCGCTGTGGATTTCTTGACGATTTGTTTGGGAATCGCGCTATCGCTCGAGACTTCCTCGCGATTCATGCAGGACGCACGCTCCAGCAACCCGCCTGCTCGACCTGGCCGCTTGGGCCCGCCTTCCAGACCCGCCTACCCGTCCGATCTGCCCGTCTGGTTCTGCCACGTGGTTTCTGTTCTTGGCCCCCCTCCTGCTAATTTCTCTCGTGTTCCATCCTCCTCCTTCCCCTTTGTCCCTTCCTTCCATCCGTCCTCTCCTCCCTTGCTTAAGGGGCTGCGCGAAGTGTACGTCGCAGATGATATATATATATATATATATATATATATAGATATACACCCTCAAAGGGTTACGATCGAATATGAAGAGGGCGGGTATCGAGGATTTGGAGATCTGCGTGTTGAGTGGCCGCGAGCAGATGCGCGAACAGTCTTACACTGTTTATTGTTGTTATTGTTGTTGTTGCTGGTTTTGTTGTTACTGCTGAATTTTCACTACAGAAGAATCTGTATTGTTGATCACTCCCTCCGGTAACATATGTTTTTTTCAATTGAAATGCCCTTCTCGGGGTTCGCACCGTGTTTTATATAAGGGAACGTCTTATTCCTCAAACTGCGTTGTTGGCCCTCGAACTACAACAACAACGGCCACCGCTTGATACTTCCTCACAACTTATTCCCAAATCGTGCTCTCGCGCGGGACCTCCTCACAATTTATTCAGGAATCGCGTTCTCGCGTGGGACTTCCTCGTAATGTATTCAGACGCCTCGCCCTCGACATTCAGGAATCACGCTATCGCTGTGGATTTCCTGACGGTTTATTTGGGAATCGCGCTGTCGCTCGAGACTTCTCGCGATTCATGCAGGACGCACGCTTCGACAACCGGCCTGCTCGACCTGGCTGCTTGGGCCTTCCTTCCCGATCCGCCTGGTAGGGTCTACCCGCCCGATCTGCCCGTTTGGCTCTGCCACGTGTTTTCTTCCCCTAGCCCCCCTCCTGAAAATTTCTCTCGTGCTCCATCATTTCCCTTCTCCTTGTCCCTTCCTTCCATCCGTCCTCTGTTCCCTTCCAGGTATAAAAAAACCTCCAAGGGGGTACGGTCGAAGACGAAGAGGGCGGGTATCGAGGATTCGGGATATACGTGTTGAATGGCACGCGAGCAGATATGAGCGAACAGTTTTAAATTATGGTTGTTATTGTTGTTGTAGCTGCTGCAGTTGAATTTTCATTTCGAAATAATTATTGTTGATCCCCCTCACTGGTGCATATTGTTTTTTCTCTGTCAAAGTGTGCCCCTCGACGCTCGCACCTTGTTTTTTGACAAGGAAAGTCTTGATGCTCAAACTGTGCTCTTGGCCCCTGGGTTACAACAACAACGGCTCCCGCTTGAGACTTCCTCACAATTTAGCCAGGACCCCCGCTCCCGCCTGAGGCTTCCTCGCATTTTATTCAGGACTTCCTGACAATTTACGTAGGAATCATTCTCGCGGCGCTCTGGAGTCGCGCTCTCGCTGGAGACTTGCTTGCAATCTACATAAGGATAGCGCCCTTGCGTTGGAATTCCCTGCGATTTACTCAAGCGCCGCGCTCCCGGCACTCAGGCACCCAGGAGACACTCAGGCACCCAGGAGTCGCGCTCACGCTTAGGACTCCCTCACAGATGATTTAGGCAACGGGATCTCGCTGCCGTGGCTCCGTTGCAGCCTTTTGTGGCCCCTTCGCTGCCCTTCGTGGCCCCGTTGCAGCCCTTCGTGGCCCCCTCGCTGCCCTTCGTGGCCCTGTTGCAGCCCTTCGTGGCCCCCTCGCTGCCCTTCGTGGCCCCGTTGCAGCCCTTCGTGCCCCCCTCGCTGCCCTTCGTGGCCCCGTTGCAGCCCTTCGTGGCCCCCTCGCTGCCCTTCGTGGCCCCGTTGCAGCCCTTCGTGGCCCCCTCGCTGCCCTTCGTGGCCCCCCCCGTTGCAGTCCTTCGTGGCCCCCTGATAAGGATGGTGATGACGATGATGATGGTGATAATGATGATGCTGATGCTAATTATGACGATGATGATGACGATGACGATGATGATTATGTTGACGATGGTGATGATGATGATTATGTTGATGATGATGATGATGATGATGATGATGATGATGATGATGATGATGATGATGATGATGATGATGATGATGATGATGATGATGATGATGATGATGATGATGATGATGATGATGATGATGATGATGATGATGATGATGATGATGATGATGATGATGATGATGATGATGATGATGATGATGATGATGATGATGATGATGATGATGATGATGATGATGATGATGATGATGATGATGATGATGATGATGATGATGATGATGATGATGATGATGATGATGATGATGATGATGATGATGATGATGATGATGATGATGATGATGATGATGATGATGATGATGATGATGATGATGATGATGATGATGATGATGATGATGATGATGATGATGATGATGATGATGGTGGTGGTGGTGGTGGTGGTGGTGATGGATGGTGATGGTGATGGTGATGGTGATGGTGATGGTGATGGTGATGGTGATGGTGATGGTGATGGTGATGGTGATGGTGATGGTGATGGTGATGGTGATGGTCATGGTCATGGTCATGGTCATGGTCATGGTCATGGTGATGGTCATGGTGATTGCCATGGTCATGGTCATGGGCATGGTCATGGTCATGGTCATGGTGGTGGTGATGATGAAGATGCTGCTGCTGCTGCTGATGATGATGATGATGCTGATGACGATGATGCTGCTGATGATGATGATGAGGAGGAGGAGGAGGTGGAGGAGGAGGAACAAGACCCTCCTGCTCCTCCTCCGAAGCGTAACGGGCGGGCGGCGGGCGGGGCGGGCGCGCGGACCCGAACGGTTCGGCGGGCGGACCCTAACGGGTGGACGGGCGGTCATTCGGCGGGCAGATCGGGCATGTCTCAATACTGGCGGGCGCCCGAAGACCCTGATGTTCGGGCGGGCCTGCCCAGAAGGGCGGGGCGGGGTGTCTCTAAGGCTGGCAGGGCGGATGCCTAAGACGAGCGGGCGGTCGCATCCTATTGGGTGGGTTGGCGGGCGGACTAAGACAGGCGGGGCAGGAGGACCCCGACGGGCGGACTGGCGGCTTTTGTGGCGGAGCAGGCGGGCTCTAATACGGGCCAGCCGCGGTTGGACCTTAATTACGAGAGGGGGGCAGCGGCGGACGGTGTCAAGGGCAGGCGGGACGGGCAGGGCGGGCGGGCGGGCCCCAAGGCGGGATGGCCGGGGTGGCGAGCGGTCTATTTGTGAGGTGGGAAGGGCGGGCTGCCACTTGCCGGCGGGCGCGCCCCGAAGTGCGAGCGGCGGGCGTGCTCGCAAGGGGCGGGCGGGGGGGCGGGCCCCCAGATGGGCGCGCTGGCGGACCAAGACGGGCGGACTCAGACGTGCGGGCGGGAGGTGTCGAAGGGCCAGGCGTGGCGCCGGACCGCAGAAGGCCGGCGTCGGTTTTCGATGCGCAGCGCGTGGGGTCTGAGACGAGCGGGGCGGGCGGACCCTCACCGCAAGAACGGGGCGGACGGTCTCCGAGGAGGCGGGCGGAGCGGACGGGCCCCGATGAGAACGGGCGGCCAGACCCTGCCAGGCGGGGTAGTTACCTTCCTCGCCCCGTTCTGTCTCTTCCCTCCCTTTCCTCTTCGTCCTCCCTGCTGGTGTGTGTGTGTGTGTGTTTGTGTGCGAGTTTGAGTCTGGGTGGGTTCAGTGTGTGTGAGTCTGATTGCGATTGAGTCTGAGCATGAGTGATTCTGGGTGTGAGGGGTCTGAGTGTGAGTCTGCTTGCTGGTGAGTCTGAGTGTTGAATGCGAAAGTTTCGGTATGAGTGGATTAGAGTATGCGTGTGTCTGAGCGTGAGTGAGTCTGAACCCGAGCGAGTCTGAGTATGGATGTTGTGAGCATGAGAGAGTCTGAAGAAGTATGGGTGAGAGATGGGGGCGGGAGTGAGGAGTTAGAGCGTGAAATTGACGGCAAGATCACCTCAGGGTGTGACGAAGAACATGATGACCCAGTATGGCTATTGATATCGAAGCGCGCGCTTACGTTGTTCCGTTTCTTTGGCTGTGATCATGTCCGAAGCCGCCAGATTTTTGTACACAGGCATTGTAACATAACGGTTCTATCAGAAAAATAAAAAGATATGCAATTGACACCTAACCGGAGTGAGCCAGGCTATCGTTTAGCTTGTTGCAGTTTCAGGTGGAGCGTGTTGTCCTTGGTCACTTCTTCCTTTTCTGCCCCCGCAGAACTTCGACGAGCAGCACTCCGATGAGTATGAGGACTGTACCGACTCCGAATCTGATGTCGAAGCCGACATCGCCACCGGTTCCGCCGTTGCTAAGGCCGTGTTCAAGATGCGGGGTTGCTTCAGCTCATGGGCTATGCCAAGACGACCGCAAAATTTGAATGCGCTTGGATATGATACGCTGTCAGCTTCTGATGGAACTACGCGAATTTAATCCAGCATTCAGTCACCAATACACTGTCCAGCTAGCAGATCGCCTGCAGCCTACTTTCAGTGAGTGCACCCTGTGGAGAGCATTCAGATCTCTTTGGGTCCCTCCGTGTCTTCCACCCTCATGTGTCCTTGCCAGTATCTTTCATATTCGATGCAGCACCTAAGCCAGCAAGGGAACGAGTTGACGTAGATACTGTCGTCTAGCCTTCTCTCACCCTGGCGGGTGCTGATGGATAGCCTTCTGGATCATCTCGGCAACTTGTTTGGCACCGTTTGCGTACTGGAAGGGTCCAGGGAGGGTAGCAAGGAATGGAACGATGTGCAGAAGCGGGAGACAGGAACGTCGGAGTGAAGATAGATATCGGGATGTATATGTATATGTGTGTACTATATATATATATATATATATATATATATATATATATCGGAGTAGGCCGGGGGAGGGCCCAGAACTGTGACCATTGGTTCGCATGGCGGGCCGGGGATGTTGAGGGCTCCAAGAGGGTTCAGAAGGGGCCCTGGACCCCCCCCAGAGGCTCCCAAGCTGGCCCAAGAGGCGCCCAAAGCGCCCCAGGTTGTCTGGAAGGTGGCTGAAGAGCGCACTGAGATGGCTTCCGGACGGGCCACGAGCGCTCGAAGACAGCCCAAGACCTGCTCCTAGACGGCCACAAAGGCAATCAAGACGGTCCAAGAGGCCGCCGAGAAGGCCATCCAAGGGCAAAAATCTAGCATTTTCCATGGAAGAACGTATATTTCCTAGATATTTGCGTCTCAGTCCAACCAGCGGCCGCGACGGACCCAGAGGCTCTCCAAATGAGCCCCAGCCGGCCCAAGAGCCCCCCAAGAGGGCCCCCAGACGGCCTGAAGAGAGCTCAAAGCAGCACAAGAGCTCCAACACAGCCCACGAGAGTACCCAGGAACCCCGAGGGGGCCACCAGAGGATCCCGCAATGGTCGGAGAGGGCCCCCAGAGGGCCCCAAGACGGGCTCAGGTCCCCATGACGGGCGAAGAGGGACCCGGAACGGCCGAATTGTGCTCCCAGAGGGTCCAACAAAAGGCCTACCAGGAGTCCCTGAAGACGGTCCAGGAGGCCGCTGAGAAGGTCCCCGGGTGCAAAAAACTAGCATTTCCCCAGGGAAAAACGTACATTTCTATGATATTTGCTTCTTATGTTCCATCGGTGGCCACGTCGGCCCCAAAGGGTCCACGAGGCCCCCAAGAGGGCTCCAAGACAGCCTCAAGACAGCGTCGAGCAGCACAAGAGAGCTCCAAAACAGCCCGAGAGAGTCCTCAGGGGGCTCGAGGGAGCCACCGGAGGATCCCTATACATGGTTGGAGAGGGCTCCATGAGGGCCCCAGGACCGCTCAGACATGCCAAGAGGGGCTTGGGACAGCCGAAATGGGCTCCCAGACGGGCCACAAAAAGCCCAAAAGGACCCCCCCACGACTGTCCAAGAGGCCGCTGCGAAGGCCCTCAAACAGTAAAAATCAAGCATTTCCAATGGAAAACGTATATTTCTGGGAGCTTCGCTTTTTAGTTTTACCAGCGGTCGCGACGGCCCAAGAGGTTACCAAAATGGGCCCCAGACGGCCCAAGCGGCCCCAAAGAGGGTTCCAAGGTGGGCTGAAGAGAGCTTCAAGCGGCACAGAAGAGCTACACGACGGCCCAGGAGAGCCCCCAGGAAGCCCGAGGGGGCCACCAGAGGATTCCGACATGGTCGGAGAGGGCCCCAGAAGGGCCCCAAGACGGGCTGAGCTCCCCACGGCGAGCAAAGAGTGACCCGGAACGGCCGAAATGGGCCCTCAGACGGGCCAACCAAGGCCCCGAAGGACTCCACAGGAAGGAGGCTCCAGAGACTGTCACAATGCTTCCACAAAGGCTCCCGGCACGCGTTCCAGTAGGCACCCGTGTACTGGGTGCGTTGAGAGAAGAGGAGGAGGAGGAGGAGGAGGAGGAGGAGGAGGAGGAGGAGGAGGAGGAGGAGGAGGAGGAGGAGAACAGCACTTTTGACATTGTTCTTGTAAGATTATCTTGTTATCTGATTATCTGGGAGCGCAGGGTGAACAGGGCTCGAGAGGAGGGAGGTGAAGTAGGTGAAGGAACGCAAGGAGGGACACACCGAAGAGGTGGGACGAGAGGAGGAGGAGGAGGAGGAGGAGGTGAAGGAACAGGGATCCCTTTCAGGGAGACGCCGACGAGGAAAAGGATGAGTATACATTGATGGGAAGAGAGAGACCAGGAAGAGGAGGAGGGGAAGGAGACTGCAGTGGACCGGGGATGATGACGGCGATGACGCTGATGGTGACGATGACTATGCCGACGACGACACCGACGACGACCAACAAAATGTTGATGATGCGGATGATGATGCTGAACAATACGATGACGATGATGGCGATGGTGATCACGATGCTGATGATAATGGTGATATTGATGATTGTTGTCATGGTGATGGTGAAGGTCACCATGACCATGACGATGACGATGAAGATGACGGGGATCAGGATGACAATGATGACGATGATCATGACCCTATCTAGAACTTGAGCGCACGCGAAGCGCGCACGATGGTTTTTAGTTTATATACGTACACGTAACTATAGATAGAGAGAGGAGGGTATACATTCACACATATGTATATGTATGCGTATATCTATATACATATATATGTATTCCTCAAACTGTGCTTGCACTTACGGGATTATTATTTCTTTTTAAGGAGCTGGGCTGGTGTATCGGTCTGGCAGCTATGTAGCTGCCGTCGCCGCCCCGTCGTCGCCTCGCCGTCGTCTGGACGTGTGTGTCGGTCTGGCTGCTATGTCGCCGCCGTCGCCGCCTCGTCGCCGCCTCGTCGCCGCCTCGTCGCCGCCCATCGTGTGGGCCTGGTTGGCGCTTTGGCAGCTTCGTGGCAACATAGGTTGCACCACATACTCTGCACAACACAGATTCCACATTATAGACTACACAACCTAGATTGCACCACACTGATTGCACCACATATCTTGTACCACACATGTTGCACCACATATTTTGCCCCACATGCATTGCGCAGCATCAATGCCACAGTTTAATATGTGCCACACGACTTGCACCACATATACTGCACCACATATATTTCACCACAGGTTGCTCCGAACAGGTTGCACAACCTATACTGCACAACCGAACTTGCAACACCTGAGTTGCACGACATAGAGTGCACCACAGAGATTCCACACTATACATTTTACAATCGATATGACACAACACATATTGCACCACATGTATTGCACCATCTATATATATATATATATATATAGATGGCTTCTCAGCGACCGCACCACATGGGTTGCACCGTATAGCTTTCACACCATCGATTGCACCTCACATATTGTACTAGACATATCGGTGGGGACACACTGTTTGGGGTCCACCCTGGCTAACATATAAATATGTGTTTTACACATATGTATATATATATATATATATATATATGTTTATATATATCGAGATGTTTATGGACATCTCAAGAGAGAGAGAGAGAGAGAGAAGGGTAGAGAGAGGGACAACACAACGAGAGAGCGAGGGAGAGATAGGGAGAGGGTGAAGGTGAGGGTGATGGCTTGTGGTTGTGTTTGTGAAAAATGGCCACGAACAGTGCTTACACTTGTAGGTTCTTAAATCTTTCGAAGGAAATGGGCCTGGGTGTCGGTCTGACGGCGCCGTGCTTGCAGTCGTCGCCTCGTCGCTGCCTCGTCGCCGCCTCGTCGTCGCCCGTCGTCTGGGCCTGGGTGTCGGTCTGGCGGCTCTGTGCTCGCCGTCGCCGCCTCGTCGCCGCCCCGTCGCCGCCCGTCGTCTGGGCCTGGGTGTCGGTCTGGCGGCTCCGTGCTCGCCGTCGCCGCCTCGTCGCCGCTTCATCGCCGCCCGTCGTCTGAGCCTGGGTGTCGGTCTGGCGGCTCCGTGCTCGACGTCGCCGCCTCGTCGCCGCCCTGTCGCCGCCTAGATTGCAAGACGTAGATTGGAGAGGCCTGACGGCCTGTGCCGCCGACCCTGATCGAAGGGGCTGAGAGGGGGAGGAGAAAGCGAAGGAGGAGGAGGAGGAGGAGGAAGAGGAGGAGGACGAGGAGGAGGAGGACAGGGACGAGCACGAGGACGAGGAGGAGGAGGGGGAGGAGGCAGGAGGAGGAGGAGGAGGAGGAACAAGGTGAGGAGGAGAAAGGAGATACTGTCAGGAGGAACAAGGTGAGGAGGAGAAAGGAAGAAGGGAGGAGGAGGAGGAGGAGGAGGAGGAGGAGGAGGAGGAGGAGGAGGATGAGGAGGAGGAGGGAGGAGGAGGTGGAGGAGAGGAGAAGGAGCAGGAGTAGGAGAAGAGGAGAAGAAGGAGGATGATTATGATGATGATGATGATGCTGCTGCTGCTGCTGCTGATGATGATGATGATGATGATGATGATGATGATGATGATGATGATGATGATGATGATGATGATGATGATGATGATGATGATGATGATGATGATGATGATGATGATGAGTGATGGAGGAAGATGAGGAGGAGGGGGAGGAGGAGCAGGAGGAGGAGGAGGAGGAGGAGGAGGAGGAGGAGGAGGAGGAGAGAGGGGAGGAGGATGAGGACGAGAACCTCCTCGCGACGCCCTCCGGGCTTTCTCGAAGGCTGCCGGGGTAGTCGGATCTGGGGGGAGGGCCCCCGGGTCCCCCCGGGACCCCCGCGGGACCCCCCCGGGTCCGCCCCCCCCCCTTCTGCACCGGGGAAGGGAAAAGGGAAGGGGCTTCCCTTCGAAGTCTGGACGACGTTGAATCAATTGCTTGGCACGGCATGTGCAAGGAAGAGGACTCTGCTGACGGAGAGCGGGAGAACGGTGAGTGGAAGCTGGATGCGGCTGGAGAAAGTCGAGCAGGAAAGAAAGCACGACGCGAACAGAGAAGCCCCTCGCACACGCCGACAGGGTCGGCGGATTATCCTTTCTGAGAAGGTAATCGGATCTACCTCTCTCCCCCGGACTTAACAATACCCTTTTCGTATTGCAATTTGCATATGATTCTGCCCCACCGTCCATCCGAAATATGAACTCATAACTTCAAGTCGGCCGGTATCGACACCCCCTCATCCTCTGCAGAAGAAACTATGCGCGCACATTCGTTTACCAAACATCAGCCATTTTCAAGAGAATGTTACAAAAGCGAGACCAAGTGCACGCGCGCGTACGTGCCGAATTCCTTCAACAACCTGTGATTACGTAAGGATTTCAGAATCGAGCGCCCCGGAAACAAATGAACACACATGGCTTCGCAACACAAGTTTTCAACACAACC